TGAAGAAGAACCATGTTGTGTCCTCCATGAACACGTCGTGCAAGGGAGGAGCATCATCAGTTTCATATTTCTTCCCTCTCTTTCGTTGCAACACCACAGCCCATGATCAGAGCAAGCTTCAATCTCTAGTTTTTTAACAGCTTACGCGTTGTAAGGAGAGGGATTTATGGATAAGGGTCGTTTTCTGTTTGTATATATATAGAAACAAGGGATTCTATGTAAGCCTTCAAATCGTATACTGTATACATTCTTCAGTTTTGACAAAGATTTGTATCTAAGAGTTTTTAAAAATCATCAATAATCGTTATAACAAACAAACAAGTTAACTAACTGTGAAGTATGAGCTTAGGATGGTGGACACAGCTTCCTGCTAGAGCTTTGAGGTTGCTAGCTTTTTAAGTTCTCTTCTTAAAATCTTGCCGGAGGGATTTTTGGGGATCGAGGCCAGAAAGGAGACTTTGCGAAGCCTCTTGTACGGTGCGACCTATGTCAATACCAAAACAAAAACTCCGGTTAAAATCTACGGATCGCGGTAAGTTATAAAACCTGATATGTATTGTTTGGAAGAACCTGTTTTGCGACAAAGCCCATGATTTTGCTTTCGGATAAGTTAATTCCAGCTTTCCTTACAATATACGCCATTGGATATTGCCCAGCTTTCATGTCAGGGATGCTTCAAAAACCAATAAGACAGAAACGTAAAAGCTTCATGATAAAATGATCATTAAAAGAGAAGAATTTGGTGATGAATCATTGTTTAAAAAAAGCCAGGACTTTACGGTATTACTGCTGCATCAGCAATCTCTGGATGAGCAAGCAACAATGCCTCTAATTCAGCTGGAGCAACCTAACAAAACATTAAACCATTACCAAAACCACCAAACGTTGCATTTGTTTACAAAGACTAATGTTTGATTATATTTAGTTACCTGATAACCATTGCATTTGATCAGCTCCTTTAATCTATCAACAACAAAGACAAACCCATCACTATCAATGTAACACAAATCCCCAGTTTTCAACCATCCTTCTGAATCAATAGTAGATGCAGTAGCTTCGTCGTTCTTGAAATAACCTTAAACAAAAACAGGTTTCAGAACAACACCAACAAACATAAAAAAACTCTACTTTGCAGATGAATCTAAACACCTTTCATCACAGTGGGACTTCGGATCCATAGTTCACCGGTTTGATCCACACCCAAGACCCGACCCGAATCCGGATCCACAATCTTAGCTTCCACACTTGGAGCTAACAATCCAGAGGCACCGTACCTCTCAGTATCTTCTTTACTAAACATAGAAGCAGCTATAGCCGTTGATTCAGTCAAACCATAACCTTGTAGAATCTTAACGTTCGGAAAACTCTCGACGAACTTCTCCGTTACTTCTCTGCTCAGAGGAGCTCCTCCAGCTACGACGGTGTGCAACGAGCTAAGATCGTACTTGGAATTGATCTCATTTGCTCCATTTAACATAGCTACCAAAATTGGCGGTACAAGTGAAAGGTACGACGATCGGTAAATCTCCACCGCCGTGAGAAGCTGAGCCATATCGAATTTGGGAAGAACGACGATTGTCCAACCTAACGCGATTAGCCCCGTCGTGAAACTCCCGAAGCCGAATACGTGACACATTGGGATTGTGCAGATGGTTCGCTGCTCTAAACCGAACCGGGCTCGGTATGCTTGTACCAACGCGATTAGGTTGCGGTGAGTTATCATTACTCCTTTGCTCGTCCCCGTCGTGCCTGATGAGTATAACAGAGCCGCCGTGTCTTCCTGGTCGACTCGGTCTTTCACTCGTGACTCACTCGGTTCCGTCTCCATCATCGCTTCCAAGCTCCCGACGATCTTCACGGCTCGAGATTCTCCTCCTCGACCCTCGTCCATGAGAACCACCGGGAGATTCAAATTCGATGCGGCGGCGAGTTTGGAGACGAGTTGGCGAGTGGTGAATGCGAGAACGGGACGCGAATCGTTGATCTGATTGGCGATTTCGTCGGAAGTGCTGATCGGATTTGCCGTGGTGATGATTGAGCCGAGTGACATAACGGAGAGGGAGACGATAGGGAAGAACATGGAGTTAGGAGAGAGTATAATGACGATATTGCCCTTGCGCACACCTAAGGCATGAATACAAGCAGCGACTCTGTCGACACCGAGCCAGAACTCGCGGAAGCCGAGACGACGACCGGTGACGGCGTCGACGAATGCGGTCTCACCTCGATGAGGCTGTGATGACATGAATGTCGTGACGTCGAGATATGGATTTGGCGGGAGAGCCATTGGCTCACGTTTGCTGTAGAAAATCGATGTTGATTCGCAGAAACCGCTTTTCCGATCGAACGACATTGTCCCGGCTCTTGCTTTTTCTCCGTCACCGTCGCCGCCGTGTCTAACCGCCATGTCAAGGGACCTTGGTTATATCGAAAAGCCTCTCGGTGATTGGTCGTTGGAAGTTGGAACATTTTGTCGCCTTTTTGATTTTAGTTTGATGACGTGGAACTTTTTTTTTGGGTAACTGTGACCCATAACACTAAAAGCCCACTTTTAAATCTGACCCATTACTCCTTGGGCCTAACCGCACAACAAAATTGTTTTCTAAAACGAATTCTTCTGTATTTATTCAATTTTTTATGGAAAAAAATACTTTTTCACTGTATCTTGGTCTTTTTTTTTTTCACTGCAAGATAAGTATATTAAAGAAGAAACGAGTCATTACAAGCCTTAACAAAAAGGGAATCACATCAATCACACGCCTACGGGCCAAAACATTTGCTAGAGCATATTACAAACCCTGCTCTCCTCGGAAAACTGAGCACTAAGCCAAGACGGGGGTCCCGAGGCTATATATGATTGAAACCGATTCACCGATGTTGCGCTTTTAGCGATTTTGAAGGTTCCCAAATTTGCCTTTCTATTTTCACACGCAAATTTCCAATGTGGAACAAGCTGAAGCAAAGGCAGTAATAATGTGGAAAAGTATAAAAGTGAGGGCCACGCAAGAGGCTTGTTCACGGCTTGTACCAAGGATTTGTCAAATGCCGCAAACAAAACACGGGGATATCCAAGAGTGGAGGTGCTTTCCACAGCCCATGAGATACTTAAGCATGAACCATCCAGTTTAGAGTGAACTGAAATAAAAGACCGACGGCCATGGAGGAGGACTTTTCCAACCGAGTTGCGCACCACCCAAGCCACACCACATTCCTTTGAATGATTATTCCAAAAGAAGGCAATGTTACATTTAATCCAATGTGGATGAGGTGGTTTCCAAGATGTCCTTTCTTACGGCAAGTCTTGAGATGCTTGGATGTGTCTCTCAACCTCCTGCGCCGTAAACCATTTGTTGGCGTCCGATAGAGCTTTGTTAATGGTTTCCAAGCTACAAAAGT